ATATGATAGTGCTAAACCGGAGCTGACAGTAAAAGACAACAGTGGTAATCTTGCAGTTAGAGGATTTTCTGAAAGCCGAACAAGAACAGCTTGTGATCCACCACTAAGTTCATCAACTGGTATCAATCAGTCATCGTTGGTGTTGTCATCCACAATGATACAGACGCCCATCAACTCAAGTGTCTTGTGCAATGACTATGATAGTATTGGTGCATTTGAAAGGACGAAAGATATTGGTCAGTTTAGTGAGGATAAGCCAAGTTTAAACGAGAGAGTAATTGTTAAATTGACTTGCATGAATAAAGGCATTTCTAGTTTCAAGTTACTGTTTGAATGCTATTATCTTTGGTGTAAATTACTCTATTTCTACGCTTGGTTAACCAGATACGTCGTGTGTTTGTTAGTCATCTATATTCTACGATACAATGACATGAGCGTGTTACCGTTCAGATTTGAGGATATAGCTGATAGAAGGAAGTCAGCAAATGAACTCTGCAACGATTTTCCAACCTAGGGCGTCGACCTGAGAAGGGTTGTAGGCGTACTGGTGTGGTGAGAGCAGGCTGCTAGCCGATTGGTTGGCACTAATCTACGTTAAGGTCTAGGTCACTAATATGGGCCGTGAAAAAAAAAAAACAAGGCTGAGTCAACAACCAATCACAGCGAAGCTAACGTGGCAAAATATGATTCGCAGAGAGAACTCTGTTTGTCAAGGAATTCCGAAACAACCAATCAGAAGCCTGCGTTTGTCTACCTAAACAACCAATCAGATGACTGCGCTTGTCTATAATAATGTTGTTGAAATATGTATAAATACGTGTTGATTTTCATAATAAAACGATCTGTTGCCTGGCCCTTGTCTTCTGTTGTTACATTTGGTGTCGCTGCCTACCGACAAATGAAAAGCCTATACCCTGCAGTTTTTGATGGAGACATATGGATCTTCGGGCAGGACTTCAAGGCTTCTGCGCAGTTGAGTGGCGTTCAAGATCTGCCAGCGATGGAGCTGCTACTTGAGACGCTGCTGGGAGGTCGGGCGAAAGCAGCATATGAAGGTGTCGGCCGAAGTATGGACGAATGTTCGACAGGGTCAGGTAAACAGTTTCCAAAGTGGGAAGGACCATATATGGTCACTTCGAGATGGGGTTACGCAGACACAGACGCAATGGCGAACAATGAGAGGCGCGTGAACGTCAGCGAGCTCCAGAAATGGATACAGCGAGACAAGCCAACGATGACGCCTGCACCAAGTAGATCAAGCCGACTTCAGTCGCACGTATTTGACGGGGGGACGAGTGTGGTGAGAGCAGGCTGCTAGCCGATTGGTTGGCACTAATCTACGTTAAGGTCTAGGTCACTAATATGGGCCGTGAAAAAAAAAAAACAAGGCTGAGTCAACAACCAATCACAGCGAAGCTAACGTGGCAAAATATGATTCGCAGAGAGAACTCTGTTTGTCAAGGAATTCCGAAACAACCAATCAGAAGCCTGCGTTTGTCTACCTAAACAACCAATCAGATGACTGCGCTTGTCTATAATAATGTTGTTGAAATATGTATAAATACGTGTTGATTTTCATAATAAAACGATCTGTTGCCTGGCCCTTGTCTTCTGTTGTTACACTGGTGTAAGTCCTGCAATTCTTCGAAGGAATTCCACCTAAACATGATCCGCGAGGTTATTTGTACTGTTTGTGTATACGTGTGGTGTGTCTTCTCAGTTTGTGATTTTTGATTAATTGTGTTTACTCGTTGTTTTCGTACCTTGTTGTTATTGCGTAATTTTGTTGAAATTTTCGTCGTGATTACTTCTGAAGTTGTCTCGAGTCTTCCACATCCGTGAATGAATTGATTGATGTTAGAGACAGCAGATCGGTCGTATACGCCGGGGAGGCTATTGCTGAGAACAACATGCACGCGGAGATAATTGTTAGCTGCGGTCTCACACGCCGAGGAGTGAGAATGTAGACGACTGAGGCTTGCATACGTAACCGTTACTAGAACTGAGGCTGAATGAGTGACAAGCGATCGCAGTGGTAATTGGTAGTGAATAGATAAGAGGATGTGTGAAGAGTATCATGAGGTGGTGCTATGGTCACGTTGCGTTCTGCAAGAGTCATCCTAGCAAGTGGCGATTGTGTTGCAAGATGTCAAGAGGATGCCTTTAACTGGAAGGCGTAGGTTGTCATCGATGTGTGAAATTGTGCTGTGGGTATGCTTGTGGTGTGTTGGCTTTTCTGTTTGTTTTCCATTTCAGCTCTGTCCATGTGACCCAGGTTCTCGCAATTGCATCCAAGTCAACGTGTATTGGTCATGAAGGAGAAAGGGAATGTATCCGTATTTTGCCGGAGAGTGTCAATGCAGTTGAAGATTGAACGATCAATTCATGGTTGTTTGCTCAAAACCAACTTCCTCAATTTTCGCGGAGGCATCAATACGACAGTCATCGTCTCATCGGTCGCTTTTCAGAAAGAAGTCAGCAGAAAACCGTCAGAAGTAATATCGTGATTTATTATTGTAATATTTGTTCACAGACCTTAGTTGTAATAGTGTTTATATGTTGGTGTTACAATAAAGAATCCTCGAGTCGCCAATTGGTGTTTTGGTTTTGCGTCCGTTATTACTAAGCGTTTCTGAGAAACTTCAAGGAACAGCGTGAGCCCGAGTGCAGCAAGAGCTGGGCATTAACGGTTTACGAGGCGTGGCTGACAGATACATATCCATTCTTATTTATTAATCAGGATTTCCTACGCGTCATCTAACTTCACAACTTCATGTCTGTTCAAACTGTTAGTATCTAGAATTTTATGATTAGACGTATTTTCAAAATTATGGTGTTTAGGATTAGAGTTGAGTTGAGTTGAGCCTACAGTACGTCATCCTCTACGTCCCCTCAAAGTCGTACTAAACTCGAAAGAAGAAAGTGATGCTATTTTAAGCAACTCTCATATTCTCAAAGGATCAGTGATATATGTCCGCGCTGACTTAAACCTAGTAGACCGTGTGAAAAGACAGGCTGCGGCACTAGATTTAAGTGAGCGACGCCGGAACGGCGAGAAGAACCTTAAGATTAAGGGTTTTCGGGTTGCCCGATTTCGCAGTTTAATGATCCCGAAACCTCTGTGGGTAGGCCGGGGAAGCACCAAAATGAATTGACAGTTTGCTACACAAACACCGGCAGCCTGTTAAATAAACGGACTGAGCTCGTTAACATGAGAGACTCCGGAAACCCGGATGTAATTATTATCACAGAGACATGGCTCACACCCTATGTCACTGACAACGAAGTTAACCTGCCAAACTTCGAAGTGCATGGGGTGGACCGACTAAACTGCAAAGGAGGTGGTGTAGTCATCTACCTCAAGAAATGCTTAACCGCGCGTAGTATCGAAGCACTCGCTCACGAAAGTGAGTCGTGCGAACTTCTATGCTGCAGACTTGAATGCATAGGCCAAGACATTGACCTCATTGCTGTGTATCGCAGTCCTGACTGCAGTTCAGATGACTTCCTAATAGAGAAGCTAGGCTCCTGGACTTCGAAATGTCGAAGTCTCGTAGTCGGCGACTTCAACGCCCCAACAGTTGACTGGTCGAGCCTAACGACTCCATCTTCAGTCAACTCCTTTGATCATAAACTGCTGAAATTTAGTATATCGCTAGCCCTGGTCCAACATATCATTAAGCCCATGCGCTATGACTCACAGCACTCTTCCTCAACTCTGGACCTAGTGTTTTCCCACGGTGAGGATGTGCATCTCATACAACATCTTCCTCCGTTGGGCAGAAGTGACCATGCTGTGCTCACTTTCAAGTTCACAGCGACGGCAGCAACGGTCAAAATCCCAGCTCGACCAAACGTTTGGAAAGCTGATATAAATGCAATCGTCTCAGCAGCCAACCCTGTCGCGAAACCTTGCATTAGATCGCCGCGCTTGGGCAGCGATGACTCGAGATGTTCATGAAGCCGGCTCATCCTCCCGTAGGAGATAGCCGAAGTAAAGTAAAGTAAGTAAGTACTCGGTCCTCTCCCATTTATTCTGTATATCAATGAGTTACCTCTGCTAACCGACTCCCCTATGGTCCTATACGCAGATGACTTAAAAATTTGGACAAAGCTGAAGGGCAACACTGATACGTCCACGTTGCAAGAGGACCTCAACAAATTGTCAGAGTGGTCCGTTGAGTGGATGCTCCCGATCAATGTGGCAAAATGTGCAACCATGCGCATTGGACAAGCAAGCACGAGCTCCTACGAATTAGAGGGAATAACACATTCATCAGTTCAGACTCACTTGGACTTAGGTGTCATAGTTAGCCACGACTTAAAAACAACAGCACACTGTCGCGCGTAGTTTCAGGTCATTATGGGCAATTCGTACAGCCTTTACTAGAATCACCAGAGATATGTTCACCTACTTACATACATCTCTGGTGAGGTCAAGACTGGAAAACTGCATCCAGGCCGCCAGTCCTTGTCTGAAAGGGGACTCACACATTCTAGAAAGTGTTCAAAGGAAGGCAACACGTATGGTTCACGGCATAGCCAACTTACCATACGAGGAAAGACTAGACAGTTTAAATCTCTTCTCACTGTCATACAGTAGAAAGAGAGGAGATTTAATCACAATGTTTAAAATTCTAAATAATGACTACGGACCTGACCTATTCTCTCTTTTCCTTCCCACCAGGTCGGAACAACTTAGAGGACATGGCAGGAGAGTTCAAAAGCCAAGGAGAAATCATATTGCTGTTGAGTACTGGTTCTCACATCGAGTCATAAACTCTTGTAACCGACTCCCAGAAGAAGTGGTGTCTGCAATCTCAACTGATTCGTTCAAGAAGGGTTTGGACAACCACAGAAATCTACTGGAAAAGGATTAACATAGGCTATAAGCCTTCTATCCTCAACCAATAAATCTGAACCTGAATGTCAATTTGTTTGTGTTAACTGGTGTGGCGGTGACTCAATTGATCTGACCAGAGGCGGAATTTTGAGCCACCTTTGAATTCGTATTGATTATTTGGTTTGTTAGTTCTTTTTGGTTACAAACAGTGTTGTGACATATCTGTATTTAACATTGTGGTGCTGTTATCGGGGAAGCTAAAGTATCATGGCCAAAGTCAAGCTCTTTTAGAGTTGATTATCAAGAACTGATCAGACAGAGAATACTATGATATATCATTCCAAATCAAATGATGCCTGTCTTTTTCAACTTTGGAAGGATAGACACATGATTCTAATTGTTTACTAGGTACTTTTTCTGCAAATATATGCCGCCAGTTAAGGTAATGGTGTTCAGGATTAAGGCTTAGAGTTTAGGGTTAAAGTTAGGATTATGGTTAGAGTTTAGGAGTAGGTTTTGGAATAGTGTCAGAAATGTCCATAGATTTCAAAGTACCATGACCTACAGTCACCTGGATGCATAGGTATATGGCGCACGGTACGATTTCTCCATGGTTCATATGTGTATTGACTGGGAGACATCCTTACAACTCATTAGCTACAAACATACAGTTTAATGTCAAGCTTGCAATGCCCTTTTAGTGTATTTTTCAATAATTATGCGACTTTTTTGCATCGGAATTCTGATTGGCTGCTCAAGGTCGCTGTGGTTTTGGCTATGATAGTTTGACTTCGCCCAGCTATCATTTGCTTATCAATTTCTTTTCCTAACTCCCGAGTTTAAAACTTAGCTGGCCTGGTTCATCGAGCGACGTTTTTAAGTTCAAAAAATGAAATGAGTTACTGACTTCTTACAACTTCAGATTTTTTCAAAGCTCATTGCCCTACCTTAGAATTTCAATCCTGAGTTTTTAAACAGGATTTAAATGCATAAGCCATACGTCCATGGCTAGAGTATTGAACGCCCTGCAAAATTTTGCTCATTTCATTCCATATTTTTTAATTTTAGTTACAATACGATGAGTTGTTTTTTAACATTTAAGTGCATTCTCTGTATGTGGATTCCCAGTCAATAATACAACTGCTTTGACAATAACGGATACGAACCTTCATGGATTCACCTGTTGTGTAAACAACTTTAGCTGCACTATAATCGAGGAGCTGTCTATCCTTTAGATGACAATAGTATCTTCATTAGAAGATATCCGTCCACTTTTATCTTATGCCATGGCGTTTTAAGAAACTCGGATTGCTTCCCGAAATCATACGTTTCGTAGTTGTATTTGAAGCAGCTGTGTTTTAATAATTGGTGAAATGCATACTAATGTGGATCCAGAGAAAGTAAAGACTGGTAACGTTAGACTTCCACGACCGAATGACCTTAAATTAACCTACGACACGCCGTTCGTTGAGAGCGTTACAAATAAGAAGTTACATATAGGCATCAGACAGTGAGTCTCATAAAATACTTTAAAAACACCCTCATTATTCCAAAGGTTTTAGTCTCTTACATGTGTATTGTATCAATTACTGTCTTTGCATTTATTGTCATTCTCATCGGAAAAATGGCTCCCAATTCGATATCTAACATGGTTGTTCTGATGCCACATTTCATGTTACAGCATGCTACTACAACGCTCGCACATTATTACGAGTTAAACAACAGTCGGGTTTGATCAAAACACCAAAAAGCCTCTCTTCATTTTCAGACCTGCATGCAAAATTTCAGTAACGTGTTCCCAATAACTTCAGTTCGAACAATGCATTACATGCATTTATCTGGGGACCGTGCTTCCCAGTGGATGTCGGTGTTGCACTAGGTATTAGAGCTGAGGCCTAGTTACATAACTGAGTGCCCATTAGAAGTCGGCTACGCAGCTATTTTAGGCTGTCTTAGAAGAAAAGCAGCTGACCAGAGGATCATTACCTAGACTCTGGTCATGCTTTAGCATATTCCGCGTTTCTCCTGCGTCCTGATGGTAGTCCTAGACAGATTGAGAGCCCACAAAGACCCTCAGAGTGCCGCGCGTATAAGTGATTTACCATATCAGTATACTTTAATCCATACCATAGTACTCTCTGATAAGTTAAAATTGGTTTGTCAAACGCAACGGAGGTCCAGAAGAAGGTAATCAAGCCTCATAAGGCATCTGACTCAATTGACAGCATTACTTAAAGATGATGACCACTCAGGAAACTAAGTAAATTGTTTGGGAAGGTATGGGAATAAGAAAATATCGCGGAAATGTGAGAGGACATAATCATGCTTACCTTCGCAAGGATGTATTCGGGGCGTGTGGTAATCATTCGGATATTAGTCTGTTGTCAGGCTACTGTCGTCGTTATTTCTTGAGAAGTAAACTGGGTTTTTATTTAGGTTATTAAGGCGTCGATCTCGTATTCATCCTGTGCTAGTTGTTAGAACACTATCACGTGTGTTACAGACCAACTCGTTGCTTTTTAAATGAGAAGCCTTTGATTCTTTAGACATGGCTATTACATTGAATTTTATGTTCGAGAGGTGTTCCCTTAATGACAGTGTTCTGAAAGCTTTATACAGAATCAAATTCAACCACCGATTAACAACTTTCTAAATAAGCAATAGCGTTATCCACCTTCGCTACTTGTTGCTAATGATATTCTGAAGGATATATAGTTGCGATTAAAATGTACTACCTCGAGAAGTACAGAGTCGGTATTATCACAGTGTGGTATCTTATAGACTACACAAACTTGACGAACTCGGACTGCCACTGTATATGATCAGTTGTCTCTATAGAGCTACCTACATCTATGTCTTCATTTTTATCTCTCAACTGTTTTGTTTCTCTTTTCTTTACAATGTTGTAATTGTATTTTGTGTTGCTCATATCTTGATGCCTATACTGTACTAAGTTTGTCCTAATTAAGTACGTCACCACTTTGGGCGGTTTTGAGCCAGTTCATCAAGAGACTGTAGACACCGACTTTTACCATTTCTAGGAACTGAATATTTATTTTTATCAGTGGAACTCTATGTCCTGTTCATCAAGGTATACACTACATTCATTTTTCAGACCAATTCTCGGTGTGTGCATACTTGAGAAATATTGAAGGAATTAAACTCTGTTGTTTCATTTCCTTTTACTTATATTAGCTAAATTTGTTATGTAAAATCTGGACGTCTAGATTGTATGGCTGTCACGTCTGCATGTTTCTGCTATAGATTTCTAACCAATCCAAAGCTATCTTCCGAAGTTCACTCACGCCCTTTGGGTTTTAAACAGTAATGACCACATACAGGTCTATACATTAGGTTTTAATCTATTTGCACTGGTTTACGATGTCATGTCATCTCTACTTCATGTTGTACACTGTTATTGATTTATTGGGTGTTTGGACTTGATCTTAGCTTCTTACACCTACGTCTAAAGAACACCCTTAGCTGTATTATCATATTCCATGTAAGTTACCCATAGAGAGCAGTGTGGGGGAAGTTGGTGCATACAAATTAGTTTGCACTGGTTGACTATAGGAAATTAGGTAAAAGACCTAAAACACGTGCTACACATGCCGAGCCATCGTCTTCCTCGTCAAGCAATGTTAGCTGATATACGATGAGGTTAGAGAAGAGGGTGTTGTCAACGCGAGATTTGGAATCAGTCTATGTGGCTTATAAAATGGGGCTACTGAAAGAGCTGCACTTTTATGTAAAGTTCCACGTTGAAAATCTGGCCAGTCTCCGGAATTCGCACCACCTGTAATCTATTCACATTTGAACACGAAATGATTCTACTTGTTTCCCTCGAACCTAGGTCAGTTATTCCATGAGGGCGAGATGATTGGTATCAGGAAAGAATCAGAGGTACATCTTTTGTTTTAAGGACTTCATTTATTTATAACTGACTTCCAACGCCTACTTTGTTAAATTATCATAAACATCTTGGTTGACCCCAAACCTTTTTCAGCTTTTTTTCTTAATTTCCTGCTTAGAATCATAGCCTGTTAGAAACCTATACTTTCCGCATTTCACCTCTTGTAGTAGCTTTACTTCATCTCATATGTTCCATCTCGTATTCACCTGTGCACCTCTTGAGTTTCTTTCTGTTCGTTTTAGATTACTGTTGTGAAATCTTCTATAAGTTCCAATTTAATCTTTTCATCAACACTAATTCTAAATGGATCAAACTGTGGACCATGCGCTTATAGAAAGTGAACGCGAGTACGTGGAATTCCTAGATGAAACGGTATATTGTCATTTTTAATATAATACTTTTCTTAGGATGAATACAAAGATCGTATTAACTCCCTTATCACTCGTGATGCCATTCGCTTGATGATTAATGTCAACGATTTGCGTCGTCAAAATGCTGAAAGAGCTAACAAGTTAGTTTACTGATTCCAGTTATCATCATGTAGGCTTCTAACTAATTCCTGCTCGGAAATAGTCGCTTGTCAGAGAGCAGTTAAAAAGTGTATACAAAATGCAAATCCAGATTTTGCCAAGACAAAGCATGAATTCTTTGTGGGTTTCGAAGGAAGGTTTGTCTATTAAATAAAGTCACCGTTTCCTTTAGTTTTGGTCCTCGTCACGTCACACCTCGCACACTTAGTTCTAAACTTCTAGGAAATATGGTGTGTTTAGAAGGCATAGTGACCAAGGGTAAGACGATGTGTTCTTATTGTTTCTTTCAGCATCATTAATTCGACCTAAAATTGTATGCAGTGTACATTACTGTCCAGCCACAAAAAAGACCATTGAACGTCGATATGCCGATTTGTCAAGCCTCGAACCATATCCATCATCTGGCGCATACCCAACCAAAGATGATGAGGGAAATTTGTTGGAAACTGAATATGGACTATCGGTTTACAGTGATCACCAAACTGTCACGATACAGGTTCGCAAATAGTATTTTTTCTAAAACCTGGTCTTTTGCAGGAAATGCCGGAAACTGCACCAGCAGGTCAGTTACCTCGTTCTGTCGATGCATTATTAGACAACGACTTGGTTGATGCTGTTCAAGTAAGTGCCACATTTTGTAAAATTACTAAATTTATTTTCAGCCCGGTGACCGTGTACAAATCGTGGGTTATTACCGATGCTTGCCAGGAAAGAAAAATGGTTTTACTACTGCCAGTTTTCGTACTGTAGTTATCGCAAACAATGTGCAATCCCTCAGCAAGGAGACTGGCCCAAGCTTTTCAGAGAAAGACATTAGTATGATGAGACTGATTTCAAAGAGAAATGTAAGTCGTTTACCAGGTGTATAGCAATAATATATGTGATGCAGCTCATTGGCTCTAGTGCCTAAACTTGACTGAGTAGTCAGTAGGTTGCTTAATCGAGTCCAGTCTCATCTAATTCAACCTGAGTTAACACCAACAAGTACTCACCCTCACAAACAAGTTGTAACGTATCTGCCATAAAAGCTAATTGTATGGAATGTTTATTATACACTGGTTTCAAAAGTTCATTAATTCCTGAAATTTTTTTCTTATTTCTAAAGACAATCATCTAATGAGCTTCCAAATTGTATCAGTTTAATACAAGTGATAAAGAGTTTCGCAATATGTTTTGAATTCTAAATTTGTTCTCCGAAAAAGCATTACTAATTAGTTAAAGTCCATGAATTTTGCGTGATGATTAACGCTGAGGATCACTTTCAGTACTGTTATATATCGTCTATCTGTTCAGTTGTTTTAGTACTTGGAACAAACTACACCTTATTATTGAGGACCAAAAACCCGTGATTATTTTTTGTTTCTCAATCATCAAACTCGTAAAATAAAGTTGTAACTTGATAGATCTCTGTCAAAGCGAGATCAGTAGTCTATGCTTTGGTTTACTGACACATGATGACTTCATCCCTAGGCACTTTCAGTCCAGTCACAAGTTTTCACCATTTATGTTTGATACAGTGCACGAGTGCGTGTAAATGATCATATGAACTGTGAGGCTGTGCTGTACTCTAATATATAGTTACAAAGTGTGGTGTTTGCATATAGAGACCTCATCTAGTGTATCACTAGTAAAGGTTTCCCATTTTTAACAAAATTATGGATTCAAATGTGAAAATGTTAGTGATGTGGTCCAAAATTGTTTATTAATCCCCATTTAATTATCCACGCACCATATCAGTAATTATCTCTTTATATGTTGACGGTTTTGCAATTCCTATCTGAAAACTTAACATCAAGTTGTATATTTTGTTACAGGATGTGGTGAATCTTTTGACTCGTTCCATTGCACCATCGATTTATGGTCATGAACATATAAAAAAGGCGATTCTTCTACTACTTTTGGGAGGTGTTGAACGTCAACTTGCCAATGGTTCTCGTATTCGTGGTGATATAAACCTTTTGTTAATGGGTGATCCATCAGTGGCTAAATCACAATTTCTACGCTTTGTTCTTCATATTGCACATCGTGCTATCGCCACCACTGGTCGTGGTTCATCAGGAGTGGGTTTAACTGCTGCAGTTACGACGGATATGGAAACAGGTCAGCTTTGTAATTTAGTCGACTTACTACCATACAATTCCTTCACAAAGGTCGGATTGAGTATATATGTAGCATAAAGTCCACAAACTTTCATTTATGTCAGTGTACTTAAACTCTCCAGCGTTTTTAATTAAGAAGAAGCGTTTTTCAGTATTTGGGTTACAATAGGCATAATCAATTGTCGCGGTTCCGTTTTATCTCCTCCCTATTCCAGAAATTGAATTGCTTCTCTGTGATAGTGACAGGTAACAAGTCAGTCGTCAACAAGTCACATGTTTATACGACTGTTGTTGATTTGTATTTCACATCAAAACAAACGATTGTTATACGTCTCATAACTATCCTGATGTAATCGAATTTATATTGTAATCTTAATAATATTTTAAGCAGTGGTTTAATACAAAATTAATTTATAAAATAACTTGTATAAACTATACAATCATAATAATAGGCATTAAACTTCATATTACATTATCACAGGTGAACGTTCCCTTGAAGCTGGTGCCATGGTACTGGCTGATCGAGGCATTGTTTGTATTGATGAGTTTGATAAAATGTCAGACATTGATCGAACGGCTATCCACGAAGTTATGGAACAGGGACGAGTAACTATTTCTAAGGCTGGTATCCAGGCTAAATTAAATGCTAGATGTTCAGTTTTAGCAGCAGCGAATCCTGTTTACGGTAAATATGATCAATACAAAACACCGATGGAAAATATTGGTCTCCAAGTAAGTTCATCTCATAAAGTTTTCTTTTTGCATTGTGGTTTGTATTCACAAAAAGTAGACTTATGTTACATGGTTCTTCATGAGTAACTATCTCAAGGACTGACTATTTTTCTTTCAGTCGTTACATCAATTATGTTTTGAGAATTTCAAGCATTATAAAATGAAGTATCAACAATGAGTACAACCATAGATTGACAACTCGCTTTTTTCCTATGATAATACTGAATTTCATCAATGACGAAACATTTGATACACTAAACGATACTTGTTTCTTAGTATTCATTCAGTATCCTGTTGCACTTAAAAAATAGTGTTGAATGTTATTCAGATTGTCTGAAAGCACAGTCTAAATAAAAAGTATCATTGTGCGTAATATTCAACCAAGTATCTCCATTCAACCAACAGTCCTGCAAAATAAGTTATTTGGAAATAAACATATAAATAACTATTAATCTATATTATTTATTGCACTTATCTTTTGTCCAGGATTCTTTGTTGTCTCGTTTCGACTTACTCTTCATTGTATTGGATAAAGCTGATCCAGAATCTGATCGTTCCATTGCTGAACATGTTCTTAGAATCCATCGGTATAGAAATCCAGGGGAACAAGAAGGAGAAGCCTTACCGTTACAGTGCGCTACTCATTTGTTGACCACAGGAGCTGATCCACTTTCTGCTGGACCTCCAGATGATCATGATGAAGATGTTGAGCTTGACGGTACGCGTAGGCAAGAAGAGGATCAAGTGTATGAACAACAAAATGAGTTCCTCTTACCTTCTCATGGTCGAAAACAGTAAGTACTGTAATAATTCCGTCATTTGTACCCCAGTGGGAAACTGAATAAAATATTCACGTATGATGAGTAATAGTATACAGATGTAACTGTCTAGTGCTGTGGTTAAGTGGTAGAATGCTCGCCAACCACGCACGACTACCGGCTGACACACTCTAGCCTCTCCCAGTTCGCCAGTCGATAGTAAGCCCCGGAAGGTTGGGCGAAAGGCTAGTGACTCTATCCCGTAAGAACAACAACACCATTGCTACTGAAACTTCAGAGCCTCCAGACTGAAGCCCTTTATTTCAATCAAAACTCAAAGGAATGAAAAAATATGTAAATGTCAAGAGACTAATCAGACACATTACTCGACTTAGTGTCACTTGTTCAGATTATCTTTTAGAATTTTTGCTACAATGTTTCTATAACCTAAAAGAGTAGATGAAAGTGTTAAAATTTAAAAAACGTGAGAAAAGAACATGCGGTGCATTCGGATATACCCATCTTATTGTGCTTAAGATCATGGCTACGTTACTTTAGGGCTTCCCACCTACTCACTATTCGTGTACTGTTAACATGCACCAGTGAGTTTATTTCTATGTACCTGAAGTCACTAATTTCTGAATTCACAGACTAATGTCTGCTTGATTCACCCATCCTTGTCTGTTTTCCAACATTTCATGATTTAACGTACCATCGTAATATTCTGGCATAATTAGTGACTAGCCTTGTGTAAAATAAGTCTATCTTTAACAATTATGCACAAATAACTTACATTTTTATTTTAATCAGGGATCAACTTACTATGAAGTTCCTGCAAAAATATATTCACGTAGCACGACAACTCAAGCCTCAGTTAACCAAAGAAGCAGCATCTATTCTGGCTGAAAAATACTGTGACCTACGAGCTCAAGAATCATCTGAAGGTATCGGTCGACCTGGACGTGGTGATCAAAATCGTATGCGTCGTACTCAACCAATAACAGCACGTAGTTTAGAAACATTAATTCGTTTATCCACTGCTCATGCTAAAGCTCGTATGTCTAAAACGGTAACTAAAAAGGATGCAGAAGCCGCTGTCCAACTAATATCATTTGTTTTGTTTAAAGTAAGCGTATTAATTATATTCTGCTCAACTGTTTTGTGATCATTTTGTCTCACTTCCATTGACTTTTTCGACTGATTACATCTATATGTTTGGTGTTCATTCGAATCTGAATCCCATGCGTTTACCTTAGTTTTTTTTTCAAGATTGACTACGGATTGGCATCAGTTAGAGAACCACTGAAAACCTGCAGGGAGTAGTGGATACCCGCTCCGTCCTAGAGTTCGGGACTCGTTAGCAGTACGCACCTACCGGAGTTCGAACCTAGTAGCCTCCGGTTACAAGGCAAGTTTATAGGCCATTTAGCCACTGGGACCCGCTTTAATGGCCCGTGAGTTCTAACCTCTAACAATTCGTGGTTTTTGCGCTACCACCAGCCGAAGTCATTGGTGAGTATTCGTCCTCACACCCAACTTGATGAACCTAGTGTGTACGCACTACCAGAGAGTCCCAAAGTATGGCGAAACAGCTCTCCAGTACTCCCTGGTTTTTAATGGTTCTCTAACAGACATCATCCGCTATCAAACTCGAGACAAATCGGATCCCGACAAACTAACTCTTGAAATTTTGTCTTGGAATTATACTGTACCACAGTGTCCAAGTTTTATCTTTTTGTCTTTACTGATCGTTCAATAACCAAGAATTATGTTTGGCTCATTGCCAATTGAATGAACATACATTCGAAGGATGATATATACCTTTGTGTATTACTTTGTGGAGTGTTTCTATTTGTTTAATGACTTTTCAAACATAAGATTCGTGTTTTTTAGCCGTCTTCGCTTATGACACCATTTCTTACTCACTGATATATGGATATACCAGTGAGTTGGTTCGTTTAGAATTCCACATTTGAAATTTGATCAAAAGAAAGAGTTGTGATGTTGAATATTGATTTTAAGTTATAGAGGATTGAAAGTACTTATATGAAATTGTCGAGTTGTGAAAAAATTTCTTCCATTTCATCACGTTAAACTATTGGCTTCCTAAATAGTAAGTTGAAGTGTATTGAACTTTTCATGGAGCCTAATCTGAATCAAAAATCGTGTATTAAACAGAACTTGAGTTAAACCTGCATAGTGATGTGCGCTTTTAAGCCTGCGCAACCTAAATAACGTACGTTGATCTTTCAAAGTATTCATGTAAATATTGTTTTTATTGAGTCTTCACTTTTCTGGCCTTCAGTGTTCTACTTGCAGCCACTTGATATTTCTGGGTTGTGTTCATCTAACTTGATTAATAGAAGGCGCCCCCAGGCCACGACACTTGTGACCAACTGGCTACTTGAAAATATCGCCAACGCTGAGATAGACACAAAAGCCACACTGAGAAAAACGAACGAAAACAACCACGTTTGTTAGACAAAATACATGATATATTATATTCACAAACCTTCAAAAATCTAAGCCATAACTAAAACAAATCTGACTTATTGCATGTCATCGGAATCCCTCAGGAAAATAAACGAATCAAAACTGTTTAATAAGGTTATCATGCCAGTACATGCATAAATTATGACTTTACGGTTAACAAAGAAACTTGTCAGTCCTAACACCTTCCTTATTAGTTTTCGATTTGGGGGACCACTGGAAGATCCTTTGTGTAGGTCTGTGTTACTCTCCGTTTATGAATGTTACATTTTATCTTATTTCTTTTTGGTTTCGCTTAGTCACATGGTTTCGTGTTGTATTCTTTGGAGTAGTACCCTCTTAGCCTCCAACCTAGCTCGAATGTATGAAGGGAAAATCGAAACATAAAATACTAAAGATTGTTTTTAATTGGTATTGTGCTTTGACATTTTTTTGTGCATTTTAACGTGCCGTTATTTCAAATTGTTGTATCAGGAAGTACTTGAGAAAGTTCGACGTAAACGTGATCGTAATGCAGATGATGACAAAGACTCGGACGATGAAAATGGTAACGAAGAGGATTCTGAACACACAGCCCCACAACAACCTCCGAAACGAAGGTATTTTATCAGTAGTTCCATGCATATTTTGATTGTCTTCACACCTAGTATTTATTCTTAATTTCATCTCTATTACTCACTAATTTATCGTGTTGCTCATTAGGCCTCTGTATCAACAAATGAAAGTCTTCTTTCGAGGACACTCTACTGTTGTTTATTGCTTGGTTTGAGGATTTATTTTGAAAATGTATGCACTCCAATGTTTCCTAACATCGACGTAGACCACAACTGAAATATTACGCTGGTATGGGCTGCCTAACTGTTCGTCTGATGAGAGTTGTCTGTCGCAAGTCGAAAATGATGGTCAGAGCGCAAAATCTGATGAATCATATTATCGTTTCCTTTCATTCTTTCTTCTACAGTTGTTATTTCATATCCGAGTTTTTACGCATAATTCTTAATTTTGTTTTGTGACGTCACGCGTAATGAAAAACTCACATACTTCATTGATCCCAATTACCCATTATAGTCCTACAACAAATCAATCCTGAGCTCGAGTAGCTCAATGATAATATCTTTGACTGTAGCACTGGGTGACCCGAGTTCGAGTCTCACAAGGGACTTAAGTTCCTTCAAGATCGCAGATATCCCTTGCTGACAAGTGCCAGAAAGCACGAAACTGAAATCCGAAGCTTCCTGTCGATTGCCTTTAATTCAAAGTGCACTGTAATGGCGAACCATTTAACATAGTGACCACATTATAAGTTTGATTGATAGAATTCAGTCTGTACCGAACGAAGGACCAGATGCATGACATTAGTTACTACCTAGTATCCAATGAAAGTACTGTCACCATATTTCTCTTTTTTATAACCGAATGCTCCCTGCATTTCCCTATCTTCCCAGAAAGCTCAAAGGCATTGCTGTAACATAGTTAAGTAAAATTTAAAATGATGCATAAATCATCATTAAGATATTCGATGTTTGTAGTAAGCTTTTAAATAAACTGTAAAATAATTGAAAATATTGCACATGTTTGAGCTACTTAATAATAATAAAGCTTTATTTCAGACAGTATGTTAACATTTATTACACAAATTCTCAGCGTATTTAGTCCTAAAATATTTCCTCGTCATACAGGATTTACATCTAAATTAATAATCTGAAATATATCACGTGACGTAGTGATGTTGCATATGAAGAGAGAACCAGTTCTGTGCATTTTTTTCTTCATTTCCTTCAAGAATCGCACAGAGTTTAGTAGGAAAGCTAATTAAATATGCACGCGAGTTCATGTAGTGGTCAATCATTATAATTGCATGATTAAAACAATAAGAAATGCAGAAGAGTTTAGGCACTTTGATAAATGGAAATTCTGGAAGTTCATTGATATAAGCAGACCTCCTCGAGATTATGGTGGCACTTTTCATCATTATTCCATTGAAGTTCAATGGTGATTATTCATATGAAGAAATATTGTTTTCACTGAAACACTGGTTTCTTTCATTGTTGACCTTACATTTATCCGGGATTAGTGTCTACCGCAGCAAATACTTTTATTTCAGTGCCGACTTTATATTTGTGCACTCTTTCTTTTGTATGGTACTTTTATTAACTCGCGTTTCATGGGTTGTATTCACACTGTTGTTGTATTTTCAATTAAAGGCCTGGTGATACAGAAAGTGCTTCTGCTCCTGATCCCAACGATCCATATGCCTTTGCAGAAGACCCTCGCGTAACTAGAACTGAACCTTTGGCAGAAACTGTTCCTATATCTTCAGCTTTGCATCAAGAACGCACAGATCAGATATCAACAATACTTAGTCGAGTATTTCAGGAACGCCGTGTCGAGCAGTTGACTGTACCTGAGGTTAGTGTCTTAATTCTTTTATTCTGAGTAACCGGGATACTAATAAATGTGTAAAAGTTGGGCACTGTGATAGTAAGTAATTCCATATTAGTTTGTTTATTAGATGTATCACACAGTGAAACAGTATTATTTATTGGGATACTGGTTGTTATTAACGTAAAAACGCTTTTACTTCATATCATATTTTCAAAGTTACGATAATATGTTTTCTTTGAAATTATTATTATTCTCCTGGGCTCCGAGGGCTTCAACAGTACATCTCTGTTTCACCCTAATTTCTGCAGTCCTCTTTATCTGCTTCCACGATTGCCCATCAGCTCTCATCTTCTCACACGATCTTCTCCATGTCATCTTTGGATGCCCAACTCGTCGATTCCCACTAGGGTTCCACTTGAGTAATGTCACTCAGCGTTGCCCTCAGAGTATGCCTCGTCCGTCTCCATTTTATTTATTTATTTATTCTGCAAATTTTTTCAACTGATAGGTTCTTGGTTGCAAGAGTTCCTCGTTTCTAATCTTATCCATCTACTCTTCAGTATCGAGTCAGTGAAGGCAACCATTGATGAAAGTCTGCTATAGCCTGTTGGAAATCCTTACGATGATGAGCTAAGTCTATGAAATGATGGCTTAATATTAATTCATGCTACCATTGTTGGTTTTTTTCTAATTCATGGTTATCAGTTAACTTTATTACCAACTCATAATAGAAAGTATCTAGAGGATAGGAAGTTTCGAAGATTTAAAGTATTAGACATAATAATACTTGACCATAAAAATATGTTGGTAACGCCAGACAACTATTTAGGCTTATCAGGGAAACAGGTGGTAAAAGGCAAATGATAAGTGAAACAATCTCTGAGAAAAATGGCACCATAATTAGCTCCCAGGATAGACGACTGGAACGCTGGAAAGAGCACTATGAGGAGCAGTTTAATTGGCCTACAGCCACGCTCAACTTGCCGAACATTCAACACCTCCCTGAATGGGATGTAAACACAGGTTCTCCGTTCCTAACTGATGTTACTAAAGCTGTCACTAGTTTGAAACGAGGCAAAGCAGCAGGAACTTGTGGAATGACTTCAGAGGTATTTAAGTACGATGGAGACAATTTACTGTCTGCATTAACTGAGGTACTAGGCAACGTCTGGGAATCAGAGGAAGTCCCGTAGGGTTGGTGTAAGTCACTGATTATCCCCCTATACAAGAAGGGAGACAAGTCTTCCTGTGATAGTCACTGAGGGATTAGTTTGACTAATATAGTATCCAAAGTCCTAGGCTCAATAATATTGCGTAGACTAAGTGGTGCTCGGGAGGCACAAATACGAGAGAGCCAGGCAGGCTTTAGACCGGGAAGAGGGTGTATTGATCATATCTTCACCCTTCGACAGATTCTATAACGTAGGAATTCTTACCGGCGTCCAACAATCATTATATTTCTTGACCTAAAGGCGGAATTCCATTCTGTCGACCGAGAGGTCCTCTGGCGATGCTTGGCTGTAAAGGGAATGACGAGAAAATGTAATGCACTGATCAAGGCACTCTACTCGAACTCATACAGCCAGGTGAGGGTTTACGGCGAGTTGTCATCTGAAATGGTGATGACTAGTTGTGTCCGTCAGGGATGCCCATTACCCCCATTTCTATTCAATTTCATCATAGATGTACTAATGGACTTAGCCCTAAGTGACTTCATCGACTCAGGGATTGACTTGCTACCAGGGAATAATCTCATTGACTTAGAATATGCAGACGATATAGTTCTACAAGGCGAGGACGCTGACAAAATGCAGAGTTTTCTGAACACCTTGAACTGAGCTGCAATCTACAAATGTTTGGCATGCGATTCGCTCCCGCCAAATGCAAGAGGATGTTACAGGACTGGACTACATCGACGCCTAGTTTAAAAATAGGAAGTGAAGTGGTAGAGCACATTGACCGCTTCACTTATTTGGGAAGTACCATCAGCTCCAACGGGTTGACGAAATCTCAGAGGGCTAGTTTCGCATATGCGAGTTTACGCCGTCTCTGGAGTAGACGTGATATCTGGCTGGCTATCGACCAAAGGGCGGGTGCACTGCTTAGCAGTCCGCTCGGTCCTCTTTTATGGCTGGCTGCGAGACGTGGCCATTGAGAGTGGAAAACATGAAGAGATTAGCTATCTTTGATCAGTGGTGCATGCGTTCTATCTCCCGTGTGAAGTGGTATAATATGGTAAGCAATATTGAGGTTAGGCGTCGAGTGCTAGGTAAACAGGGGAAATCAATCGACGAGGCTGTGAAGTTACATCGACTGAGATGGTTAGGACATGTGTTATGTATCCCTAGTCATCGCCTTCCTCGATGAGCAATGTTAGCTGATATAGGGTCAGGCTGGAAAAGAGCTAGTAGCGGTCAAACCAAAACATGGCACCAGTCGATGAAATCCACAACAGTTAGTTTAAGCCACGTAGGAAGGTGTAGGCTTCCTGATTGGGCTCCTCGGGACGGTAAAAGTCAATGGCTGGCGACAATTTATGGTGTGGCTCAAAATCGTTCTCACTGGCACAGGTGCATCCACTCCTTGTGACTTATGATTTCCAATGAAACTATATTGTTCTTCGTTACTACTATTCCTTTGTCTCACACCTCTGTTTACTGTCTCTATTATGCATTTCTTCTCTTGCTTTGTGTGCTACATAGAGTGTGGCTACTTGAACTGCCGCACATATGTGCAAAGTTCTTTGTCGAAAACAGACAGACTTGACCATATCACAGCCTAACTGCACTCTTGTTTCTGTCACTTCAAAGTGTATCCGACTAAATAAGCATTGTAGGGTTAAACGTAAAGCGAAAGGTCTGAGATACAAATGTTAGTTTATTGGTTACAGCTGCCGCGTAACGGCTCACTATGCATGCATACATGTCACTTAGACCAAAGGTGGTGGTGTTATAGAGTTTGAAGCTGTGACTGTCTGGTTAGTAATAGTTAATCACTGCAACTAATCACTGGTGGTCACCTACAGTTGTTTAAGTTTCTAAATTATCCTTTCAGTTAAATATTTAAAATGCGGAGTTACTTTTTATTTTGAGAAAATTACTCAAAAGGTTGTGCTTTCTATTTGCTCGTTTTTATGTGTGATCACTTTTATTCTGAATTCTTCCTGTTTCACGCACTTACCCTTTCACCCTGATGATAGGAAAACATTTTTCTCATCAAACTAATCTGCATTTTACCGTTTGTATGATATGGGTATATTGTTTTGACGTGCGTCGATCAAATCTTCAGTATAATGAGATAGATGTATGAGCAATAACTGACATTGAGAACATGTAGTGTTTTTATGCTGCATTGTATTTGTTTGAGCTAATCTACTGTCCACAGTAAATAAACATTGTTAGGTTTGAACTATTGCATAACTTTTTGAGTTCCCAATGTCACTTCTTTGCGTCTCGACCGATAACTACTCTACATCGACGTGGCAGTCGGCTTGCTGCATATCACCATGAATCAATGAGCTACATTGGCTAGAACTAATGTTCCTGCAGGTTCTGTCATGCCAGAAAAATCGTTAGAATGGTGGTTAAACTAGAAACACTTACCAGCATGGTGTAAGTTTCTCACACTATGTTGAGTGTTTGAGGACGAAGTAGTGCTGTAACAACAGAGGGTAAGACATGGAAGCCAAGGTATATTTCTCACTGATCAAACCACCATTTATATATGCACAGTTTATATTCATTAACCAGTCACTGAGCGTGTGATATCGGCTTACATCAAACGACATCAAATAGATTGTCTAAATAAATATATTGTATTCTGTTGCTAACGCCGAATTGAACTGTGGGAATATGTGAGAATCATATTTTGTTGACACACATTGTGTGTATCACACCACCACAGAACTACTGACGAGTAGGGATTGAACAGCAGTAAACGTATTTCCTTCAAATTACCAGCAAGTCAGCTATGCTGTCTCTCCTCTCAGAAGAGGTGGGGTTAAAAAAGATAGACCCTGAAAATTTCAACAATCCATATTAGTCGGTAAGATCTTAGTATGGATATAAGTACAAAAACCAACTGAAACAGACCGGCCTCAATTAGTTGCCTCTGGACTCTATAGCTACACACAACACTAGTGCTCTTTCTATTTCAGATATTTCAGGGAAACAAATCGGTCAGTCTTCTTCTATGCATACTTTTACATTATATTGGCCTATCTCGTTTTCCATCCGACTTCTGTTTGGTAGGAAGATTAGAATTATTCTCACTCTACTTATAAAATTTTAATTTTTCGTATATGCATGATTTATAAGTGTTAAATAAATACTACTAGTTTTTCAATGAATACTTTGCAAACAAATTAAGGTGATTCTTTTTGATTGTTGTTGCTTTCCAAAAAATGCTTTCTATTTATGCATTGCATGTGTGTGTTACTGTTGTAGATAATCACTGCTGTACGATCTCAAAACTCTGGATTTAGTCAGTCGGATATTCGAGCTGCTTTGGAGTCTATGCATAAAAATAATCGTATTATGCTTGCAGGGGATGATGTTTGGCTCATTTGAATTTCAAGACAAATATGGACTATTCTTAAGATTTTTGTTTACTGTCTTAATATATATGAGATAATTTTAACTCTACAGATTTCATATAAGTGTATTTATACAAGCAATACTATTTTTATTGTTAATTCATAATACATGTTTCACGCGTATATATAAATATATATATATATATATATATATATATATATATATATATATATATATATATAATGTTTACTGTTTTGATCTAATGCGCTGTTATCGTCTGACCAATGAAGGTAACTATTTTCATGTGTAAAGGGAAAGAACTACAGCTATGTGTCTAACGAATTCTTAAGTTCTGATGCGTTATTCACCTTAATCACTACCCGCCTGTTGCTCCCTTCACGTGTATATACCACATGGTCGATGTATTTAGGACCTAATGGCACCTATTAGAGTAGCATTTCTGCGATTTCTTTCCTGGTATCATATGTTTGTGATTGTAATAAATAAAGGGTGCAGTTATGCAACGTTAATTTTGTTTAATGAGTAGTCCCCATTAATTTGAATTAGCGTCAAATCCCTCTGCACTTTTCGAGACTAAATTAGCCGTTTATTATCATAACCCGCCACACGTTAAGTGTGACTTTTCGTCAAGTGCATTAGACTGACTAACTGGCTGAATTTCAACTCAAAATTTTGCACAAAAGTGCAGCAGTTCAAGTTGCCCCTATCCACATGGTACACAAAGGTAGGGAAGAAAACATTTCAAAAAAAACTTTAATAAACAGAAATATGTGGAAGAAAGAATGATTACGTGCATATAATTATGAAAATTTAATAGATCTGGTGGTTAAAAAAAAGAAGCGGGAATGCATTTACGCCATTGAGAACGATTTTGAGCCATACCAAATACAGTGCTTAGTCACTGGTCCTTGGTATCACGAGGAACACGCAGTCTATACCAACGGTAGACCACCACCTCATTGTGGTGGATTTATGCCTTGTTTTGATTTGACCACCCTTAACTCTCTTCCAACTTAATCCTATGTAAGCTACCATTGTCCGTCTAGAAAGTGATAACTTAGCATGCGTAACACGTATCCTAACCATCTCAATCGATTGACTTCCCTTCCTTACCTAGCACTCTGTGCGGAACCTCAGCAGTACACGCCATCCTATACTGCTTAACACGGCTGATAAAATAAGAACATATTTAGTCAACGACAGCTAATGTTTTCATATCTCCCACTTTCAATGGGTATGTTTCACAGACATAAACAAGAATAGAGCGAACTGCTGTTCAGTACACATGTCTTTTGATGGATAACTGGATATCACACATGTTCCTGAGATGATGTAAGTTGGCAAATGCCACACAAGAGTTTTGTATACGTCGTGAGATTTTTTAGCAATTAGTCCGTTAACTTTGCGATAATCTCCCAAATAAGTGAAATGGTCAACATCCTCAAGCACTTCACCCCCTATCTTTAAACTAGGAGTCGGAACTAACCAGACTTGTAGCATCACCTTACACTTGGCAGAGTTAAATCTCATGCCAAACATACCAAGATTTACGCTCGAGGTGTTCAGAAGCCTCTGTATTTTGTTAGCGTTTACACCAAGAGGGACAGTATCATCCGCATACTTTAAGTGGATGCCACTGCACCCTGGTAACAAGTCAATCCCTAAGTCGAGTAGGATCACAACCATTAGTAAATCTAATAAATTAAAAATGGGAATATCGGACACCAGCGTTTGTCACCTTTCCAGTTAACAAGGCAACTCTAACACAGCTGTGTGAGTTAGAGTAATGGGCATTGGTTAGTACGATATTATCGGCACTCCCTTTACAGCCAACTATCACCACAACACCTCTCGGTCGATTGAGTGAAATTCTGTCTTCAGGTCAAGAAATATAGCAAGTAATGGAATTCGGTAGGTGTGTTTCCCAGAATCTGCCGAGGAGTGAAGCTATGACTAATACCCTCTTCCTGGACCGAAACCCGCATAGCTTTCCCGGGTTTGTTCCTCCGGAACACTGATCAGCTTACTCACGCATGTTGAATATACAACTAGTCCTCCCATGGTTAACACAAGAAGACTTGTCTTTCGTGTTATAAGCTGGTATAATCAATGATCACCAGTCCAATGGGACTACCTTTGATTCCCAAACATTACCTAATATCTTAGTCCAGACAACAGTTCATCACTACCGTCCTTAAACAGTAGAGTCATTCCTTTAGGTCCTACCACTTTTTTCAGATTAGAGATAGCTTTTGAGGTTGGACAACCAATTTCACATCTAATTGAAGTGGTTTCCGGATGCTGGTTAAACTTGGTGCGGCTGTAGGTCAGATTTATTGCTCCTCAAAGTGTTCTCTCCAATGTTCCAGCCGTCTATCCCGAGAGGTAACTAAGATATCCTCGGAAATGGTTTTTTTACCACTGGTTGGTTCTCCTAATGAGCCTAGGCAACTGTCTGGTGATACTTGTCGACCATGTTTTTCATCTACTACTGCTGTGGTCGTTGCGGAGTCTTTTAGTTAGTGTTTTGGCAGCTTTCGCTCGTCGTTATGTTTGGAGCCCTCTAGGATCAGTCTTCTTCTGTCTATCATTTCGGATGAAGCAACAGAGATCCACTTCTAATTACTAACTTTTGGTCCTACGTTATCAGCGGTCTTACCACTGTTTCGACATTATACTAGGCTTCCTCAGGATGAGTCCTGCTGTTAACCTCAGGTGTCTCTACTTTAAATAAAGACCTCGCGTCCTCATCAATTTGCACTTGTGTCAGCTTCAGAGCTGTCTGTTTCCAATTTCCCTTCATTCGTAGGTATATACGTGTACGGACTAGAACGTGATCGAAGTCTACGCTGGTATTCCGGAAGCAGTGGCAATAAACTGACCTCTATCCATAGATTATAGCTAAGTGATCTATTTGAGTCCATCGTTGATTTTATGATAGACCGAGCCAGGTTAGGCAGTGTCTTTCTTTACATTTGAAGTTATTGCTAACTAGGAGCAGATGATTATCTGAATAGAATTGTACAAGACAATCACCGTGGTCGGTTCGTCAGTAAAGTAGTCCGTAGGTGCTGCCAGTATAGTTCTCAGGTTGACACAGCTTCCCTACCTGAGCATTGATACCACCTCCTTCTTGTCTTTAGCAGCAAATTAGACAGCTTATAATAGGTCTCACCTTTTACTTCATCCTAACTGCAGTCACTTGGGATATAAACGGAAATTATTATTGATAGACATCGACATTTTCTAAGTATCCAGACAGCACACATTACTGTCCACTGGGCTCCAGTCAAATAGAGGTTTTCCTGCCGTAGCACTCAGTTCTATTCCTACACCAGCAGGTTGTCGCTGGCGGTCTCTTGACACCTGCACGGTGAATTTGTAAGATTCACCTTGTTGGGCAGATGGTATTGAGTGAATAGCTACACCTGGCTGTTGCATGTGTGTCTCAAAAATACATCCATGTTTTGGCTAGTGAAGCCTGTCATCCTGATCTTAAAAGCTCCAATATAAATATGACGGCCTGAGTTTGAATGCAGTGTTTTTCCTGCTCTCATCATTGTTAGTGGTCGCATAGCTAAGAGAAGGTGAAGGACCCACTTGTGGAATGGCATTAACAATGGAAGAAAAACAAGATTAATGTGGACGATAATGAGGAAAGCTTTGTCTGCATAAGTGGGTGGTCATCACTTCCCGACTGCCAACACCACGGGAACTATTTTCTTCTGGGAGTATTGCAAAAAGAAGGAACATTAGTGTTGCATTATCTCAGGGGACTGCTGCTTGAGGCTAGTCACACACACAGTCTGTCTGAGTAGGTTTCTGAAGTTGTGTCCGTATTAAGGTCCTAACCTCGGAAATTAGCCGCCGTAAGGTATTTTAGGGTGCAAAATTTTCGAGGGCGACCCTTTTCAAATCCCCTTCCCAGAACTTAGAAGCAACATAGCTAGCTTGCTGGTTTTCCGAAGGAAACATCTTATTGCTGTTATTTCTTTATTCGTCAGAAGTAAAACTTAACTCTCAGACCTCCAGCATAGTGTACACAAATTACAATATATTGATAACTGCTTTTAGTCTAACCTCAATCCAAACGACATTTCTGGAATGGTGGGAACACCATTGTAGTTCACTGAGTCATTGACACATGCAAGCCCAACCACCACGTCAAGGTGGCAAATATTGGTCGTGCATTGGCATGTATGAGGTCGTTGAGCAGTCAGAAAGATCATATACTGATAGAAATCTGCCCAGTATATCACCAAAAGTTGTTTTCGAACAAGTAATTCTTGAAAAGTTATGAGAATAAGATTTAAGTCATTCAATCCCAACAAATGTATTAAAAATAACTAAACAGTTGAATTTGGAAGCTGAATCTGAAAGACATTGCTAATAAGGATGTTATAGGGTAGTGTGGCATACTTTAGATTCATGACTGACATTTGTTGTAATGGAATAGAGACTTCAAAAGAAAACACGACATCTTTGGATAATGACTGTAGGATCATGTATGACAGTCAGACTAATGGGTATAAAATTAACTCGGTAGGTCAAAAGAATTGTACTTGTGTAGAAAGTTGAAAGGATGCAAGTACCTGTGTGGTTTTGTATTACTTACAAATGAATACAAGTGGCACTTTCGGAGTAGAAGAGTGAAAGGAAGGTGATGACATTGAGAAGAATCCAATAAAAGATTAACAAAAATGTAATAAAAGCATTTGTAAATTGTGATATCTGTTATGTGTAACCAAAGTCTAACTCAATGGTGTGTTAATCAGTATTTCTATTGTACAAGTATCAGTCACCATAAATGGAAGAAATCTAAAAAGAAGTCACTTGTTCGGCTTATTTTTTTTATTTTTATTTTTTATTTTTTGATTACAGCTTGATTCCACACCGTATTTTTGGTACAAGTATGGAATTTTCAGCATGGATATCGGTAGCCCAAATTTCGCAGGCCGACCATAGATATCAGGTGTGCGTCGGCGTGGGCTCGAACCCCGGACCATATGCACGGTCGGCTAGAGTCCTAACCATTGTGCCTACCTAGGTAGCATTGTTTCAACTACAGGCGGAACAGATGAGCATGTCAAAGCCAGAACCGGAAAAACCAGACATACTTTTATTATTCTAAAATTAGTACTAAACCTAGTGCACTCAGCGAAGAGGACAG